GAACCGAGCTGGTGACGATTGCCTTGTGTTTCATTTATTTTTACAAACGGTACTCCCGAGGAGTGCTGTGCCTTTGCTGTTTGAACTGAGTAACCAAGGAGTGTTTTTGTGGAGTGCTTAACTGAGGAGTGCTTACCTTTTTTGTGTCTAATGAACTGAGGAGTGTTTTGTGTTTCGAAACACGTGTTTCGTTTTTTGTGGACCAGTTAACCAAGGAGTGCTTTACCTTTTGTTTGAACTGATTACCTGAGGAGTGTTTCCTTAATTTTGTTTGAACTGTTTCCTGGCGCCATCTGTTACTCTGCGGGCTCCGTCCTCCTGTCCTGAGGTCTTCTCTTGAGATTTGTGTTAAGTGCCTGGGCTGGCCTAGCTTCGGCACCTGCTCCTGTCTTTGTGCTGTAACGCAAGCCTCTCTCTTCGACTGCCATCGACCTGCTTTGCTGCCTCTGAGACTTCACTACCCCACGCCAGTCCCGGCCTCCTGGGACAACCTTTCCAGCCAGCGGCGCTCTCTCTTTCCAACACTCTCTCAAGCAGGTCATTTGTCCTTGTACCATTTTCATCTTTCTCTCATCTGTCCGTTGTCCTCCCTCACACTCTGCTTTTTTGTTCCAGTACAGTGTGTGACACCTCACCTCCGACCCCGGGTTGCTCCTCCAGCGGTCCAGTCGTTACTGCGGCCCCAGCTGCCCGAGACCCACAGTAGAATCTCCGCGCCTCACACGGGCCGCCTCCTTTATTTTCTCTCGTTTATTTGAAAATAAATATATCTCCAGCCTGGGTACGAGTACTGCACCTTCTTGAGTCCTGCCTTTGTTCAGATACGGCTCGGCCGTAACAGGTGCACCTTGTGTTTTGAGCTATCACAAACAGTCATGATCTTTCATATCTTTATTGAACCCACCCATTAAACATACAATGTCTATTAGACACGCACAATGTTCAGGAGGAATTTTGGACCATTCTCCCTTACAGAATTGCTTCAGCTCAGCCATATTCTTAGGACATACTGTATGGTATGAACAGCTCTCTTGAGCTCATTCCATAGTATGTCTATTGGGTTGAGGTCTGGGCTCTGACTGGGCCACTGTAAAAGGCAGATTTTGTGTCGCTTAAGCCATCCTGTAGTAGATTTACTTCGATGTTTTGGGTGATTGTCCTGCTGCATTACCCAGCTTTCTCTGAGCTTAAGCTTGCAGACAACCACCCTGACATTATTTTGTAGGATACCTTGATAAACCTGGGAATTAATTTTTCCCCTTTATAATTTGCATATGGTTGACTCATGAACAGAGACGTTAACCAACTCCAATGAATCCTTCAAGTCTTTAGGTGTGACTCTAGGGTTCATTTTTACCTCATTGAGAATTCTACATTGTGCCTTCGGAGTGATCTTGGCTTGGTGCCCACTTCTATGGAGAGTAGCCACGGTACCAGATCGTCTCCATAAACAAATAATATGTGTAACTGTGGACTGATGAATGTCAAAAGTCTCTGAGGTGACTTTAACCCTTTCCAACTACATGCAAATCAACTCTTGATCGTAGGTTTTTTGAAATCTTTTTTTTGCGTGACCTGGCTCACATCAGCTGATGCTGCTTGTGAATAGCACATTGACACTTGAGTGTTTGTATAAGTCAAAGTAGTTCTAAGCCACACCTCCATTCTTGTATCATTGATTGGATTCCAGGTTTGCTAACATCTGACTACCATTGATGTTTTGTGATAGCAGAAGGCTAGTGTTTCCATTACTTTTTTCATCATCACTTTGTATTTTTAATGGGTGTGTTCAATAAAACCATGAAAGATTATTACTGCTTGTGTTTTATCGGCTTAGAAATAATTGTGTTTATCTGATCTTATTGATAAGATCAGATAACATTTCATGACTATTTTATGCAGAAAACGAGGGAACTGCAAACAGCACCTTTACTTTCTAATAATGCAGAGGTATGGGTACTGGTCTCAGTGTGATGCAGTGCAGTCTAGCAGTCTTTTGTTAGCATTCTGTATTGCACTAAGGAGGATGTTTTTGACATTGTGGATAAATGCTCAGTGACTTCTTATCCTACAGTAATTCTTAAAGCTGTGCTCTAGTATATTAAAATAAAAATTCATTTTTACATAGCTTGTTTTCCTTTTTATGGAGAATGATTTTGAGCATCTTTATATTTTCAGCCATGTTTGAAATCCAAATCCCTGGGTTTGACTTTTCTATCAAGTTAATTTTGAGGCAAAACTGTAGCATGCCTGCAAGCCAGCTCATCTTAGCACACAACCTCTATCATGTAAGCCACTGAATTGAAATATCCTCTGCTTGAAATATTGACTTTAATATCTCATTTGAAAAATTCATGTAACCTTTTGATGTTAAATCCATACTCAATTTTGCAGAATGTTACAGGAATATGCAGAAAGGGGATAGGAGGCATTATTATGTTTTTTTCTGCAGAGAAATTACATTTTATGGTTGTAACACCAACCTCTCCTGTGTTCTTTTTAGTCCACAAGGGAAAAAGACGAGACCATTAAGGAAAAATGAAAAGAGCTATTGATTGGGCTCTTATGCCTTTTCTATTTGCCTCATTTCCTAAATGCACGATAATAAGGGCTCAGCCACTGAAACTAACAATACTCCTTAATGAAACGAACTCTGAAGAATTAGCCTAAGTTTGCATAATGATTCACAGATGTTTCCATAAATGGATGATATGCATTAGGTTTGTTGTTCTCTGGATTCATGTTCCATTTACTAAATGCACGCTCATCTCCTTATAGCATTATGATGCAATCAAGATATTATTTGATGATTTCTGTTTTGAGAAATGTGTGGCTTGTTATCAGCGATGTCTGGGGTGACATTTTTAAAAGCCGTCATATTAAAATAATGGCACAGTTGATGTATTAGAGCTAATACTAGTAAAATAGGAGCAGCACGTTATAGCAAATACAGAAAAGCATGCTTTTAGCTAATGGAGTTTGTCTTTTAATAGGTAGATGGGCATCACAAAGAGGGAGAGTGAGAAATGAAAAGGCAAGCCATTGTCAAATCCACAGTGTGCCAATAGAGATGAGTGCCTTATTAATTTAGAAATTTGCAAATTGTTTACCCCAGGTGGGCAAAAACATGGTAGGACACATGTTGCCATGTCATCAACCCATGCCATACAGACAGTCTAAGTGTTACTCCATTGCTTAATTAAAATTAGAGTAATGAGAGATGTTTTGCTCCCTCACTTTAATCATTACTTAATTTCACAATACAGTATTTTAAATATTCAATAGAATGTGAATTGGTAACAGTTGCTAAGAGTGTTTTATTCTTTTTTAACAACAAAAAATTTAATGTTATAATTAAAGATTTGTCATTAATATGTCCACTTCTAACTTAGTCCTGTTCACGCATCATTTTTGTCATGCTAGTTTTTCATGTTGGGTAGGTAACAAGCTCTGTAGGAAGGTAATTCTTAATCTTGCCTACAGAGATCTGATTGGTCTTTTCCCCCCGACAAGCAGTGGAAACGACCATTAAGGCCACAAAATCAGAACTAGGGTTTACAGCTGCAGTTGAACCTTGGGGATTTTGATATGGATATGTTTTTGGTTTGGTTTACATGTTGCTTTGGAGCCTTCATACTCAAACACTAGTCCTGAATAGTGCCGTGTGGGGGGGGGACAAACAACCACATGACCACCATGACAGACCCTGGCTTTTGGACTTGTTGCTGATAACAGTCTGGATGGCTCTTTTTGTCTTTGTCCGGAGCACATGGCATCCATTTCTTCCAACAAACCCCTGAAACACTGATTGGTCTGACCACAGTACATGTTCCCCCTGTGCGATGGTCCATCCCAGATGCCTCCAAGCCCAGAGCAGTCGACTGCGCTTCTAGACATTGTTGACATAGGGCTTCCTTTTGGCACAGCACAGTTTTAAGCAGCGTTTATGGATGTAACTACGTATTGTAGTGCCAGACACAGGTGTGCCAAAGTAAAGCTTAGCCCATGTGGTTATATTGCTTATAGAAGAGTGACGATTCCTGATGCGGTGCCGTCCGAGGGATCGGAGAGTACGGTCATCCAGCTTAGGCTTGCGCCCTTTGCCCTTTACTCACTGAAACCCATCCGGATTCTTTGAATCTTTTAATTATGTTATGTACTATAGAGGCTGACATATCCAAATCACTTCCTATCTTTCTCTGAGGAATGTTGTTTTTAATATTTTCAATAATTTTCTCACACATATGTTGGCAAACTGGTGGTCTTCAGCCCATCTTTGCTCCTAAAGGGCTTGGCCTTTCCTGGATGCCTGTAATAATTTGTCACAGTGGTGGTAAATCAGGCGCTGAGGGTGTTTGTATAAATTTTCATTGTCTAGCTCCTGACTGCTGTGTCTCTGACTGGATACATGCACATTTCTGTGGTGCCACTCTTTCTTCTCTCTCCACTGCGACTCCTTAGTAAATATGAACACATCCAATTTCATTGTTTAGTACTGAAAAATAAGTCCCAAAATCAGTTGCACTGATTCTAACAATGCAATTAAACTAACACTTTGGGCCCTAACTAGCTACAAACGCATGATGTGCGGCGCAGGTAGCACATCTGTTGTCTTTTTACCAAGCAGCACTCTGCCAACTTCACGCCAGCAGGTGAACATGGGGTGTGCCCATGTAAAGTTTGGGCATGTTGCTAATATGAGGGTGCACAAAGTGACTGCACCACTGACCAGCAAAAACCAAGGTCTGTGGTCAACAGTCAAACCGTCATTGCTAGTTAATGGATGCTTGGACAATGTTGTGATGCGCATCTGTTTAAATGTGTGCACAATGCTCGTGTACTGTGCTTGTTATACCCTGGGATGTGCTGCACAGGACATGGAATACTTAATAAAAAGATGACAATTGTGTTCACTGGGTGTTGTGCACATCATTATATACGTATTTATAATAAATATTATAATAAATAACACACCTGCTTTACCTCAAAGAGGGTTGTGGGCTCCTTCACCTTGTGCACCATTTCCTCAGTGGAAAATCTTACTGACATCTGACCTGGCAAGTGCACCAGTATGCTAGCAATCCACCAAATGTTCAAACTCACACGTCTCTTAAAGGGGATGTGAGGTTACACACTGATTGGATAATTGCATGTTACACCCAAAACACACCCCTGCTTTAATGAGGAGCTCAAGTACAGCCCTTTTGCTACTTGTTTGGGTGCTTGAACCATTTTCCTCATTGTCAAATTGCCGAAATTACCCAAACACCACTTGCGCCAATACAGTTTGATCAGATTCCGTGGATCCTCAAAATAGGGTTCTTTATATCACAGCAAAAAATACTGTCTATCATGTAACTTACTCATATTCAAAAAGCCCTTGCAAATTTTTTATGAGGTTCAAAATGCATCAGCATTTATTTAAGGCTGTAGGATACACACCACTAATTTGGTGAGCAAATGTGTTTATTTGTTTATAATGAACACTCCAAAGGGCAACATTAATTACCTTTCATAAGTTAATCTTAATTAATTATACTTGTTGTTTTCTTTATTGTATTTTCAGCTGCTTGGACAGATTATATTCTTCAGTAAGATGATCTTGCCCAGGTTTGTCCTACTTTATGCTGCTCATAAACTCTCCTTTGGCTACAACAGCAGCATGTCAAATTGCCATAAGTCTCCAGCGATGGTTGCTGATACATTGATGCTAGGTAAGTTATTTCCTTCTAGGCAAATTATATATTATGTGTCCAAGCAGCATATCTGAACATGAAAGCAAAACAAGGTTATCTCACAGCCCTCACTCCTTTGAGCCAAAAAAGTAAGATCGTTAAGTAAGATGTTAATTATAGTGTCTTTACTCCACAGAATTGTATCATCTAATTTGCTTTGGCTGTTTGGGTTTGCTTTACCTCAGGCTACGTATTTGCATAATGACCATTTGGAGCAGTGTATTGTTGAGCGCACAGAGGTGAGGCTCAGATGGCTTGTTGAAATCAGTTTTCAAAATGTTATTTTTCTCACTGTTCTAGAAATCATTACGATGTTATCCTGGCTTTTATACCATAATGGAACTTTGAAAACAAGAGAGACACACTTGAACGCAGTGTATTGTTGATACCAGCACTGAACTATTTTCTTCACTGTTAAAGCTCTACACAGTAACTTGCTATAATCAGATGCTCACACACCAACTTAAAAGAATGTGGTTCATGACCATTCATAAGTCCTCGACTCTTCTTTTTACTTTGTTATTGTTAAATGCTTACATTTCAAAGCAGTTTCATGACCTTACCATTGTAAATGATGCCCCTTTGTGATGCAGGATTTTCAGCACGTGTCCACTCTTAGCTTTTCTAAGCCAGTGACAAACCCATGGTCATAGTGTCATGCCTCTTGAGCATCTCATGGGAATGTTGCTCAGCACTGAAAGCAGTGACCCTCTGGTAAAGCACATGGTCAGGTCTAGGTGACATTTATCACAGTGATAGCTTAGAAAAAACAGCAGTAGTTTTTAGAGAAGCAGTGCCAGCTCTGAGGTGGTTTATCGTGGGCCCTGTTACAGCTCTTTGCCTGCTACAGCAGCTTCATAGCAGGACAGTTTACCCTGCTGCTCTCTTTTGCTGCCTCAGCTTAGCTCCATCCTCTGTCAGGGGACAGTCGCCTGCGGAGGGGCAGATGGTCTCATTTCTCCCACTGGGACTGTCTCATTCACGTTCAGCAGTGTTGCAGTGCTTTACTTTGCAATCCCTTCCCTAGAAATATGCATAATGTTGTCCGTGCTTGTTGTAAAAGTAATGTTGACAACAGTTTTATAGCTATTTGTAGTTTCTTTATCACTTATACAGTTCAAATGAAAATGGACCATATTAGTGAGATTGCTGGCCTAATTCGGTTAGCCTGTACAAAGTGGGTTGTTGGTCAAGTCAGCTAATGTTGCTGGCACTTTAAGCTAATGATGTGTTTCATCCGTTATTCCAGCAACACAGTTGCAAGTGCTATTCTTACTCTACCCTGCCCAGATTCCTCTGTTGCTGTGGGGACTGAACCCACCTTCTGTTCAAGTGCATGTTTCTCCAACCTTATCCATCTTAGGATTCCCAGCTACCAGGAAGCTCTCCAGTTTTAGCTTCATGTCTTCGCCGGAATTATGAAATCAGTTTTTTTGTGGTCACTTTGATTAGCAAATATTTGTCCACTTTTACATTACTTACATACAGTGGTACAGACTGCCATAGCTGGAAGAGTATGAAAGACTGTTAGATAGTAGTAACTTTGCACCAAAGATCACCTTTTTAATCTGTCATTTGTGGTGGATGTTGTAGCGTGTCTTGTAAAAATCTGAAAGACTGTATGTCATTATATTAATATACATCCACACTTTGCTGTGACCCTTTTCTTTTTCTAATCATTACTTACTCATTTTTACAAATGCAAGTCCTCATACTGATGTACGATATTATTTTCCTGCACACACAGTGGCCGATTTGCCTTGCAATGTCCCACATCTCAACACCTCATTAATATTGCATGATCTTGTTAGTGTCTTCTACCTCTTCTTTACCCCTCCACACCCCGGCTGCAGAAGCTAGAGGGTACATCTAAAAGTCAGCTTACAGCCTCTGCTTTTACCAGACTTGCAGACATGGAATAGGCTCATATCAACTCAAGGATTATCTTCCACTGGCTCCCTTTCAAAAAGTCTTTATGTGGAAGTGTCAAAAGATTTGATTTGATTTGATTTGATTTATTCTTTCAAGCATGTAAAGACAGTTGATATATCAACACACATAATTTTACACATATCCAACAAATGCTAATCCAATATCAATGTGCTTATACCTAGTACATGCTTGAATGGAGTAGGAAGAAGTCAGACTTATCCAGTCCTGCCCCATGACATCATCTTACCATCATTGGTGTGCAAGCAGTATCTCTACATAAATAATTCTCTTCTACACCACACAAGTAATATACTAAAGAATTATTACAAGGTGTTAACATTCATACACCACACCCACAATGTTCCATCTGATTAATCATTAAACCTGTTCTTGCATATATCTTGATTGACACATACCTTTATATTTATGTTTAAACTCGTCAATTCTATTACTATTTTTTATGTCCACACTTTAATTATTCCATAGTTTTACCCCACTTATGGAAATACAAAATCTTTTTTTGGTTGTACGTATAGCATGAATTTTTACATTTAACTGACCCCTTAAATTGTATCCCCCTTCCCTTTCATTAAATAGTTTTTGAATTCCACCAGGTAATAAATTGTTCCTGGCTTTATACATAAACACAGCAGTCTTATATCCCACTAAATCAAAAAATTTTAACATTTTAGACTGTATGAAAGCTCCATTGGTGTGATCTCTATACCCCATCTTATGCACAATTCTTATCACTCTTTTTTGTAATATATACAATGGTTGAAGTGAGCTTTTGTATGTATTTCCCCAGTTTTCAACGTCATACTCTAAGTATGGTAAAATCAATGAAGAATACAAAATACGTAGTGCTTTCCTGTCCAAAATATATCTAACTCTTGCCAATATCGATATATTTTTTGCTATTTTGTGCTGAACATATCTGATATGAGATTTCCAGGAGAATTTGTCATCAACTATGACACCTAGAAATTTAATTTCATATACTCGTTCTATATTAGCTCCCCCGATTTTCAATTGAAGTTCATTATCTAGTCTACGATTCCCAAATACCATAAATTTAGTTTTATCCAAATTCAGAGATAGAATATTACTATCACACCATTTCTTTATCTTCAAGTTCCTGTGAAACCCGTCCAGAGAGTTGCTGTAGGTTTTCACCCGATGCCCATATGGTAGTGTCATCAGCAAAGAGAAGAGATGAGATTAGTTACCTCTCTGCAGTGGAAAATACATTTATTTGTGATTTTCACCCAAATAAACCAAGGGTAAAGAGGAGTAGGTTCTTGACAGTTAGGAATGGGGGCCATACAATATTAAGGGCATGACATAAGGAGGAGCCAGGGCAGGTTTCAAAAAGCATCTCAGTGAATCATTATCATCAGTGTTGTGAGTCTGACACCAATCAGTTGACCCTGCATCACTCTAGATAGAACCATTCCTTACAAAAACATTTTCAGTAGCAGTAAGTCTGCACTGAACTGATGTCCATACAGTATGTGGATTCTCTCCCTCATTACAGCAGGCAGTCAGGGCAGCAGCATCTATATGCTGTGGTAATGATGACCCCACAGAGGCCAGGGGAGAAGACTGCAATGGAGTGGGAGGGAAGGAAAAACAGGAGTAGTGCTTGAATTATAATGCAGTAATGAAAAGGAATAATAACAGGAAGTAACGTCAGGGTTATTCATTAAAATACATCTACACAACAGAAAAAGCACAGCTTGCCCATTTAATAAAAATATGATAAAAGTGTTTTTTAAAAACCTGTAATTTACTTGTTAGTTCTATTGTAAGCATGAATATTAGCTTGTGTCTCTGAGTGCATGTGTGTGTGGTGTATAAGCTCGACTTGTGTAAGTTTGAAGTGTGTGTTGGCTAAGCAATAATCAAAGCAAACCGACTATAGCTGGCAGTTGATGGTGTACTAGTTTTAGATTACTTTGCCTTGTAGATGGCTAATTCATTTTTAAGCTCTTTCACTACCACCGCTCTTGGAAAGGAATGTCTTCTTCTCCGTGACCAGTGAGACAACAGTTTGATTTTTACACCAGGTAGATATTTGGCATCAAAAGACATGCTGTTCAGATTTGGAAAAAAAAAGCACACATTTCAACAGAATTAAGGCAGACAAGGAAGATGTACGATAGCAGTTGTGCTGCAACTAACAATGTTATTTGTTCATTAATGGGCTGATTATTTTCTTAATTAATTGTTTGGACTATTAAATGTCTGAAAAAAGTGAAAAATATCAATAATGTTTTTGTAAAACTCATAATGACATATTCAGATGTCTTGTTTGACCCACAATGCAAAACCCAGAGGGATTCAGTTTACTATGACAAATGAGAAGCTGCATCCAGAGAATGTTTTGCATTTTAGCTTGAAAAATGACTCCAACAATTAACCAGTCATCAAGATAATCTCGGTAAATCCATTATGTTCTGTGCATATCATGACTGAACCTCAGTCAGCACACAGAGCTGCACTCTGTGTTGAAGCTTTAAAGCATGTGACACCTCTTAGTAGCCGTCTTCTGTCAGTTGTCAAAAACAAAGTTTCAGCTGTTAGAGTAGTTCAGCAGTTCTTTACCAGATGGCAATAAAATTAAGAAGAACACAATTAGAAGTATATGCTTATATATTGATTTAATATGTTTATTTACTTTTCATGCAGTGTTTATCATGTTAATAGATGTGTAGCACTGTCCTAACAAGTAAAGCCAGTCAGTGTCTTACTAGCAACAGACAAAAGCTAGTTTTGTTTGAAAGAAGCTTTGCATGTAGTAATGCTGTTCCAGCTAAAGGCCATAATTGCTGTTTAATAACTGTTTACAGGGTGCTTCATCTTCAAAGATTGGAGAAATATGCCGATGTAAGAATTACTGTCATAAACTAACTTGCAACAACACGTACAGCTGCTTTGATAGCTCGGTGCCATTTTTCATGGCTGCACTTTATCTAGCTACAGTATGTAGACATAGTCACTAATAAACACAGCACCAGGTATTGTTTCAGTTAAACCAGCCAGCA